TGAACTCCCCTCCCACCACATTCCAAATTTCGGTAAACGTTCCTCATTTTAAACTATCCAAATATAACTAAAGTCACATAAAATGCATACTTATGCAATGGCAAGAGCAATATTTGCTGGAATAGCTGATACATATCAATATTCCATCAACTCCACCCAGCATTATGAGGGTATGAATCATACCGCTTCATGCTATTGTTTTATTATAGATCTGGACTGATTAATACATGTACCTTCCTATCAATATACCTACCAATTATGATGAGAAAGCACATTGGGCTACATTTGAAAAATAAAACAACCCCTCTAAATCATTATAGCAAATCATACTATACCAAGATGAACCATTCATTGATTATACTGAAGATTGAAAAGTTCAATTACAAAATAGAGATAAGAAAAGATTATTGATAATTGTAAAAGATCATTTTATTTCTCATTTTGTCATGAAGGCCCAGATAGAATTCAAATTTTTAGCTAAAAACTCTGGAGTCTTGACTTTGAATTGACCAGTGAATATAGTTTTAAGTGGTATATCAAAAGTCACTGTTAAAAAAACACAATCCAACATATGATTATGACTGTCTAAAATCTGTTGCGATACCTTCTGTGGTTTTTTTAACACATCTTGTTCTACCACTTAAAATTATATTCAGGTACCAAAATGTACAGATATATTAAATAATTCAAGCTATATACTGGTATACACTCTAATATCACGTTCAATACTATCACATTAACGTACACATCACCTTATATCAAGGGACTTTTAAGGGGTTTTAAGTTTATGATGTATCATAAAACAATAGTAAAGTAATCTTTGAAAGAACTGATCTGATTGTTCACAATTTACAATCAGATTTTGTTATCTTAAAGTTAAGAAGTATGTGCAGGTTTCTTGGTAATCAACAGTATCTTCTGTTTAACATTCACAATAAACATTCATCAACTTATCAGACACTTATCTTGAACTTTACTAATACTTGAATTACTTAAAAATCTAACTTTGTATAATCTGACTGTAAACTGACAGAGGGTTGTTCATGTCAATTTAACATTTTTTGTCCAAAATAATTTGTTTGGGAATGTCAACCCAAAGTTTATGTCCATACATTTTATGATATAAAGATCCAAATCTTCATGCTACTAGTGAAGAAATGATGTTTTTACTTCATAATCATCATGAAAAGAACAAAATC